GATGTGACAACCAACTCGCCGGTGTTACTTGTGAACGAATTCATAGCATTCCGATCCCTAGGTACGTTTGCCATCCAGCGGAGATATGATTTATCGATCGACAACACAGGGGTGAAGAGTACGTTCGGGATAACAAATACTACTTCCCTCACGAGTAGCCAGTCGTGTCGTTCTATTAGTGCTCGTTAGTGATACGCATTCTCTCGATCCCCTACTGACGATCGGATACATGACTGCTAATGGCTATATGACAGTTAGATTTCAACCAGTGTTGGTCGACTGTCGTCCCCCATGGCTTAGTGGCATTAACTAGTTGACTAGTGGTGCAAGCCGCTAGCGGTCATGGGTTCGATCCCTAGCAGGGGACCGAGGGAATGCGCACCGCTGGCGTACCCCAATAGGGCGAAACGCGTCTGGTGCTTTTCCGGACCAGCCTATCATATGTGGCTTGTGAACTACTGGGATGAATACCTTAAAAATTACAACTGAATTCCTGCTACTTACGAGTAATATAAAATTTAATAGCGTCTCCTAGTTTCATTGCTGAGCATATAGCGTCTAGCGAGAGGACGTCATCACCTCGCAAGCTAGCCACTGTCAGTGACAGTGGAAGATTGGTGGTGCTTTCTCCCTGTTAGCTTGCAAATTATGTAGCTCAGCCTACGTACCCCATGGCTCCGTAGCATGAGCTAACTGACTAGTATTGCGAGCCACTGACGGTCGTGGGTTCGATACGCTGCACAGGACCGAGAGAATGCGCACTGCTGACAAGACCCAATAGAGCGAAAACATCGTCTGCAGCTCTTACGGTTAGGTGGTTGACCTTTGCGTCTTGTAATCTAATTGCGCTGAACCGAATAAATACTAATTTACTAACGAATAGGAAGAATTTAATTGTACTTTTTAATCTTTTTCCTCCCAGTGGCTCACAATCTACATAGCACAGCCTTGTCCGGAAAAGCACCATATGACAACGGCTACCTTCCGAAGGTCATGAGTTCCTCTCACTATACCTTTTCTAAATTCGTTGCATCGTTCCCCCAGAGGTTTGCATCGGTGACGCTTGAAGCTGCATCTCGCGCGATCTTATGATCTCACGTCGCGAACAGTCCATGAGTATGACTCATACGGGTGCATACGTGCAACATGCCATGTGACGCACGCGATGCAGCTTCAACCGTCACCAATGCAAACATTTGGGGGAACGATGCAACGAATTGAGAAAAGATGTCGCTACGTCCATGGCATTTGAAATTAGGAGAGGCTACCTTTTATATTACTAAGGAGTATATTTATTTGTGCTTTTGAGGGTTTTCGTCCCAGTAGCTCCTACCACTGTAGATCCCTAATAGCTCGAAATGCGTCTGGTGCCTTTCCGGTCTAGACTACGCTATGTAGCTTGTGAGGTACTGGGACCACAAACCATAAAATTACTACTTTTTCAACTAAATACACCTTGGCAACAGGCTATTCCACCTACTTGTGCTTTGGTGGTTATCCGCTGAAGCATTATGTATCCTTGTTCTTTTTCTTTCGGCTGCTCGCTCGTTTTCGAGCGGGAGGAAGTCCTTTTGAACCTGTGACTTAGATGTTCCGAGTACAGTTCCCTGTCTTGCCGCACAGTACACGCGCCTGTGTTCTTGTCACTAGTATCTGTGGGAGGTTTGATTTCAACTGTAGCCTTTATTTGCGACGGAATTGTTAAGCATAAGATTGCTGCCTTCCAATCGCAATGTTGTTGCAGGACTACCTGATAATCCTTGTTAACGCGCGACTGGATGTACTACTTGTGATCGACCCATTCCTCTTGGTGGCTGCAATTGTAACGACGAGTGCGTCACTGCTGAAGCTGGTTCGCGTATCGCAAAGGCTAGGAGTTCATTCCTGAAGTGGTTTCTTTTGGCCTGATAGGCCAGTTGTACAATGTAACAACTAGGACTGTTCCACTCAATGGGGTGAGACTTGGCCCCTTCAGTTTGAAGATTTGAGTCACCATGAAATCGGGTTTGTTGTTACCCGTGGAACCGTTACTCTGTGTCAGACAGAACCATGGTATCCGCAGTGATGACGTGCGTAGACGAGTGCTTGGCGCTCACAATTATGTTAGTTTCTTATCTGGCAGATAAACGGTCTAACTTGTGTCCGCCAGGTAATTGCTGAAGATGACACGGAGCAGTACAAGCCACAAGGAAGCTATCTCCAATGCTACCTTATTTTTGCACGATAGCCAGCTGTTTGTGACGGTATGTTGTTAACAACGTTTTGGCGCCTTGATCTTTAATCTTTAAGTAGGACGTTAAGATTCTAACCTACGTCCCTCATCCTCTCCCTCTTATTATCCTTCGTTCCGTTGGTCACTGTGGTTTTACGGAAATGAACCATAAGCTCAAATGGCTGATGTACTACTCTTGATGATCATGCTAAATTATCTTTGCTTTCCTATCCGCTGCCTGAGCGTCCTGTTGCTTTGCAACTCAGCGGATTCACCCGCCTGTACCAACTCCTATGCTATTCTGGACAACCCAGATCGAAGAAGTGTAGCTGGTACTATGTTTCTCATACGCTAGATTGCTATTTTCATACGCTACATCTCTCATGGCACCATCCTCCTGCTTGGATGGGTGCGTGTTACAAAGATGGAATATCCTCGGGTATAAAGATTAATGGAACGAAATTGCGCCTACAAGTCGTCAAACTGAAGTTCGGTTACTCAAAGTTGAATTTGGAGTATCCGCCGTATGGTTGGATTGCGGCACGCAGTTTCTATTAAGACTTTGGTTCACTTTGATGTAGAGTTCGGTCATTTCGACCGCAAGGACCGTGTCCGAACTAGAGGTGTTTCGACTACTTTTTTTGATATCTCTGTAATAACTATATGTGTATCCTGTTATCCTGTCGATATCGGGCTCGCACAGTGCACTGCGACTGACACTCGGCTCTTTGAGGACAAACCCAATCACCGCACCTTATCACATTTGAGTTAGCGCGACCTCCTCATCTCACAACATTTAGTTTTCATCCCAAGAGAGCCACGAACACTCGCCCATGGGTTTCCACCGATACGAAGTAACTGCCAACAGGTTTCCCATCATCCGTTTGCCTTGGTCCTTGCCTAACACCATAGGTCACCATCACCGACAGATAGCGAACCTATGTGGTGGCGATGACTAGCGTTTACGAGAGCAGACGATTAAGTCCCGTCTCACCTGCTGAAGTAAGTTTTCGCACCAGTTTTGCATAGGCATACAACAGGTTAAGTGTCATCTAAACACCAGAGCACGAATGTCCGGCTCTCAAGCCTTGGGCGTTACGACACAGTTTCTCCACATGGTCCGAGGAAACCGTCCCTCGCCTATTCACATCGTTCACCAGACCAATCCTTGAGTATGGTGTCCCAGCTTATCATCCGATAACCCAGTGGGGAACGGAAAATCTTGAGAAAATACAGCACATCGCAACCGGAATGATACCAAGTCTACGAATGCTTCTATATGAAAAACGTGAAAGGCTCGGACTCTACACACTATCTTACCGCCGAGTAAGAATTGACCTTATTATGACTCATCGAATAATACACTTCTCCATACTGCGGCCACTATTTCAACTGCGGGAACCTTGTAGCTCCCGAGGACACCGTTACAAACTCAGGGTCCCATGCATGAACCAGGTACCATATCAGGTGCGTGCAGGACGAAGAATCGGAATACACCACCAGAAGGACTAATAGAGGCCGATTCTGTGGTGTTTCAAAACACGTATCGACGATTAGTTCGGAAACTTGTGCTTTTGTGAAACGGTGCACATGCAACGCAAACAAATACATCATATATCCGAAAATAATGACACTAATACGAATTCCTAACCAAACAAACATAAACGATTAATTGACCAAACACAACCGTTGACGATTCACAATTAAACGTTTTTGATTTTTCAAAATTCGCTAGAGTTGTACATAAACTTTCGTACTTTCTTTTAACTACAGTTTCAGTCTCATAATATGTCGGAGTTATACTGCGCTCATCTCAATGGCTCCCAACTGGTTATTCAGTTTACTTACGGCTTACTTGTAATTTACCCATAAATCATTCTTTTAAATATCAACAGGAATATTTCTGTGTTACCTGATCTGTCACACTGTGAACACAGCCCAGCGACACAATAGCACCCTGAGGAAATCATCTCGTTTAGTGATCAAACGTTTCCAACCCAATGGCTAAGCTCGGCGAGCACATGGAAACCGGAGCCCCTCTAGAGTTCGAGATGTATCCTTACTATTATTACTATTGTTATCATCGTTGTTATTATTAATTCAAGCGGCGTCCTATTTGAAATTTCTGAAGGATCAATGTATTATCACTGGTTGTTGTTTTTGCTGTATCGTCTTCAACTGGATGTGCTGTCCAGTGTCAGTGCGGAAAGCTGATTGTGTGGATGAAAACGTCGTCCTCCACCTTTCTAGATGACCACTTCAGTTCTCTAGGCTTAACCCATGTGTGTTCGGGATGTCAGATAGTTGCTTGATCTGTGGTTAATGGAACCAGCAAGTGGTGCAGATGAATAAAATGTCATTAACTCTCTAACAACCAATGAAGTTCCTAGACGAATGCATATGTCCTCGACCGATGCCGTGGCCTCTAGGCTTGCTTTCAAGTAAGACGTGATCCGAGTGGCTACTGCATGCCATGCTTCAAGGAAACAGTGAGTCCAACAAAACATAACGATGTTTTCTTATCCTTTTCTTTCTCTTGTGTTCTTGGCTTACATGTTTATTTATTCTCTGTTCCAATTGTTGTTTGTTATTATTTTTGTAGCGATATGGCTGCTGACATGTTGCTTCACCTGTGAACATAGTTTACCGACCCGTTATACTCTCCTGTCACTCCGCTTCGCTTTTAGTTTCATACAGTGTGTTCCTTACTCGTCCCAACTACATTCTCCGCTTCTCCTCCTGGTGTTCCTCTCGCACTGCTCATCGTCCTGTTTTTCCTTTGTTGCAGACCAAGAGGATGGTGCTAAAGAAAATGGGCCATGAAGCCGTGGAACTTGGCCACACAGATCCTACCGTCTCTGTGATTGAAGAAAACACTTTAGTCTCGGGGTTATGTGATTTATTAGACCGTATTTGGTCCCACGGTCTTAATAAAAAGTCTGTAAGCACTTGTATGGTTTGCTATCCTTTAACAGTTGACTTGCGTTACCGTTTACTGTCCGGCTGTTCGACACCTTTTGCTTCAAGGGTCATTGAATCTGCTCCTTTTACCACGTTATTCTTCACGGTTTCAGTTTGTTTAAAAGAAGTTTTATTGATTCACAGGGTAAATCAGCTCTCTGGTCGCATTTGGTCGAATATGTCCGCATTCATACCACTGACGCTGAATTGGATTCTACGGCTAACTTGCCGGAACACACTACTCTTGAATCAAATACTCCGTGGTTTACCACAGCACCTGGCACTTCATCGAATCTAACTACTCTGTGTCAACAGCGAACTCCCCTACCTAACGAAACAATCGGCTGCACTCCAAGACGAATGGGTACATTTCCTGTGTCTCTCCCTACCACCGTTTTGTTAACGTTGATGGTATCCTCCATTGATGTTTCTTCGGTTACTGATGAAGAGCATGCAATTTATCAACAGTGTATGATGTCGTGCCCCATGCTGAGGCTGATGTTGCATTCTTGATGCTTCTTCACCGCAGTTGGGCTAAACCAACTTACACTTAAACTAGGTTTTTTTAAGCTGGCTAAATTTCATTCCACTTTATTTGGTTTGTTCTGTCTACCTGAATTCTCTTTTATTAACTGGCCACATTGCTTACCTTAATTGCGCTTATCTTCGGTAACTTTGTTGCGTTTTGTAGTATTTTTAACTAACTTGTGGACATTTTTCCTTATCGCGGCTTCGTTGCTAGCCAACTTACTTCATATGCTTATTTAGCTTACATTTATGCCACCGTATCTGTATACATTATTGGATTTGTTTCATTTTATCTTGTCGTTCCAGGTGATTGGCTGTTGCTTGATATCCCCCGTGTGGCTGCGCTTGATGTGCATGTTGACAAGGTGCCTACCTGTCTATTACCCACTACCTCGTTCATACTGGCTCCAGGAGACAGTTGGTCGTTGCTGGAGGGGACGGGGTGCACGGTCCTTGTGGCCGTGCTAGGTTCGAAGAGTGGTTCCATGCACTCAGTGTGGAGCGGACTACGGTCCAACCACCGCCTTGTGTGCGCTTGATTCCCAAATACAGTGTGCTTGTGTTTGCCTGTGAAGGAGTGTGGGCCGGCTCCGTTGATGAAACGTGGCTCCCATCCACATGCCTCCCGGTCTTATTCCTTCGGGTTTACACTGGATATAGGGTGTGTGGTTGGAGCTGTGGGTGGTGCAGCGCAAGCCACCCATGGTCCCTGTGTAGGCGCAGGCGTCCTGTGGCTGGCCACAGTGACAGGCAAATCCGAAACCGGATGCCGCCAACCATGATGTCGTGACACCAAGGATCTTCGGATGATGTAGGGGTATTTTCCTGATGAATGAACTTCTTTCCTGTCTGCGTGTTCTGCGGCAAGATAATACTTACTGGGGCTCCTTATCAGTACCTATGGTTGTTCAACTCTAGCACTGTAGATCAACCAATCCAGTTTGCGAATTCAAATTTATTAAAAAATAGCCATTGCCTGTCTTTCTCCGGAATTATTTGTCAATTTTTAACGGTCCAATTTTATTACGCATGATCTGTACGGTGGGTGTCGTCACTTCTGGCTATTACGTTTAACATCCTCTCGACTTTCACACTCTTAATTTTTTTGTCGAACCGTTAGACTTATACATCTCTGGGGAATTATTCTTTTGGTGACTCGGAGCACCATCTGGCTTAGCGTTTTGGCTGTTTTGTGCATTGTGGTCACAGCAACTTAGCTCGTACCCTTTCTGCCGCATTGCTGGACCAGAGACCATTAGCCTGTCAGTCTCTACTGAAGACACAATGACTTTCCGGCGCGCCTTCCATAGTTCAACCACCCTACCCCACCCCTCCGTGACATATCACAAACAACTCACCCTGCTCTTGAATGCCGAGTTTGAGGAGGCTCGGGAATATATGTGACGCAAGATGCCATTCTCTATCAGCTCTTGGCTAGCAACTCACAATTTTTTATCTTGTGCTCTCATCTGCTTCAACAGAGTTTGGTTCAAAGCCCCAGTTTTCATCATTGTGATTCATTGCGAGTATCTTATCATCAACTGGTTGCCACAGTTTTGTAAGGTTGAATGTAATCGAACGTTTTGCATTAGCAACAACACTGTCATATGGTCGTTTTTTACTTCACTTCGTAAACATCCATAGGATATCACATCTGAGTGACTTCGCCATGCTAAGGCCGATACTGCACATACGCGCAGCAAGCATTATATGCGGACACCGATACAAGCTGATAGTTCCGGATTTGAAGAGGTGAAATTTTGGAACATTTTACCAGAGACGATAGGCGGGACAAAATCAGTGTCGGAAATCGAGAAATTCCTAGACGTTTACCTTGTGGATCACAGGTGTCGAAAACGTGTCACATCTGCATATAACACTGCAGCAGCGTTGCAGTTGCTGACGTTATTCCACGTGGGTGCTCAATCAAATTACGACGAATGATGCATTTTCATTCCCTGTGTGTAGTGGTAGTTGTAGTAGTTATTAATGAACAAGGTCTATAAAATACCGTTGGTGTAGTTACTTCCTTTTGTGTACCTCTACTCTCTCCGCCCACAATGTCAGCGTGCATATTAACTGTGGTTACCTTGGGCAAGCTTGTCTTTCACCGAGTTCACATTTTATCTGGATTACAACGTACCTTTTACAATCTGCTTGAACTGACCCATCATTTGTCCGTTATTTCAGGGATCAGTTACGACCATCGCTGCTATCGCAGCTTGCTTAGTGACATCCTCATCCTCCTTGGTTTGCGCAGTGACACAATTTTCCTTACCGTTTGAAAGCGCTTTCCACTTCCTACCGTATAGCTTCGAATTTTAGCACGGTTGTTAGTGCCACATTTCTTATTGTTTCCAACTGTTCCGACCTTGCCAGTACTTTTGTTCCCTTTGCTTTTTACTTATTTTTGTGCTGTACACCGCCTTGGGCTGACGCATCGATTGTGGGCAAGCTGCTTTGGCGCTGCAGCGTTCACATACTCTGTACTGAACTTCAAGAGGAGACTTCGGTGTATGGTACTCCGCAGATCACTCTATAGGTATTTTCTGTAGTAATATTATTACTACATTCTTTTCTTGGCGGAATGCAATACTATTGAAGCTCAGCGTCTTGATGTGCAAGGCTGTTCGAAAGTATCACTTTAATCGATTATATTTAGGGGTTATTTGGCCTTACGTATCCTTTTTTTATAACTTTTTCGTTATCTTTTAGTACGAGTGTGAATGTGTCAACTGGGAACTAAGTTGACTGGCCTGCACCTTCGGACGAAACGTTCTTTTTAGTTTAGACAGTAGACTTTCATACTGATAGCTGGTACTGGGAATATACAGCTTGTTCGCTAAAATTCTGCTAGTCTTCTATCTTACACTTGACTACTGTAATACCGTGTACAATATCTAGTTTATCTCGCGACTGCTTTCTCATCGCTTCATGACAAAGTTGTCCATGCTCTCATTGTGAGTAGGCGGACTAAAACTGTTGTCGTATGACACGCAAATTGAAAGAGTGTGAAGAGAACGAGGAAAATCAGGATTGATTTCAAAATACCCACATTGAATATCACTTCAGATCTATCTTCCAAGATATATGCATTTACTGACGCACTTTCGATAACGTGTGGTAGCCTATCACGAAACGTTACCACAGGACATTTTCACGTGACTCAGCACGTCCTAGTGAACACAATGGTGTAAACTCATTCTTTTCTCTTACCTCCATCGGAGTATTCTCATGGGTCACATTTCCGATCGGGATCCTTAAGCTGTTTTTTGTGTGGTTACTTTCACACACTCGCGCTAGATTTTCTCTATTTCTCCTAATGGAATTCCACAGCTCCCCATGGTGGCGTCACCATTGGCTCGAGGCAATTCTCAATTCGGTCTCCACTCTTCACTCGACAATCGGCCAGTTTAGGAGGCAGCAATATGCCTCGCAGTGGAATGTTCGATTTGCCAGCTCTGTTTGGTCCGCAGATCAGTCAACACTCCCTTGTGCGAGATGTGCTCACGATTCGAAACTTGCGTGATATAAAAACGGATGTCAGTTTTGCTCGAGCTTTTGTCCGGTTGGCACTAGAAAAGAAGCTGCTTTCAGCCTACTTGTCTGAACTATTGATGGACGTCAAACTGTTGAGGTGGGTTATTGTAATACATAGGCACATTTTACATAGTTTATTTTACCTGCCGGTTAAGGCCTTGTTCTATTTTTTAATTATGTTATTACCTGTATCAGGAGCTGCGCTAAGCGTGCTTCGCAACGTAGAATCTCACAATCACAAGCCTGAACTCTCTGGTTCCTTCCGTTTTCGTGAACGAGGACCTCGACTTTACTTATTGTGGTTTTCAACGCCTTTCTACACTATTTATTCCTCTATGGTATTTGACCTTACTTTTTCAATAAGCTCCACCAATTACTAGATCGTTTCTTTTCCTAGAGTTCTTTACTGGGTATATGTGAGAGACTAGTTTTATTATCGTATTGCTCACGGTTCGGTTGAGTTCATGGCTCATTCTCGTTATGAAACTAACGCCGTCTCGTTTTCTGATTAGATTGTAGCCCGCAATCTCGGTGTGAATGGTGATTCGCCTTAGCATGGACCTTGGTTAATTATACCACTCGGACCGTAGTGGAAGCAGATGGAAATTGGATGTTTCCCGCCCAAAAACAATGTAGAGTCATTTGGAATACTTCCACCACAACCCCGGCGACTGGCGATTGTTATCTTCGCCCATCAACCGTGGTTTTACGAAAGAAGCACCACCTCAGCTTCTTCAAATGAACACTAGACGGTTTCGGTTTGCTGCCGGTTGGTGTAAGTAGGGGACCTCGTAGTGTCTTTAGCTGGCGCGCGACTGGTGGTTGTCACTTGGCAGCGAGGCGTCGGTAAGAAATACCGGCGCACTACTGATGCCTCTCTTTCTCCACGGTAGCTAAATTTTTCTTGGTTATCATCAGTCATCGGTACTTTTCACTCACTGGTCCGCCTTTTGTTCCCTGATTTATCTTTATCACTTCAGGAATCTCTACTGTCGCTACGCGTTTTTACGCTGTGAAGAAGAACGCGAACAGTTCCTCATCCACTTGTTGTCGTTGAATGCAGTGGATTACTTCTCCTTCACTCGAATGTTAACTCAGGCCGAGCTACTGTACAAAGTATTCATTTGTACCGGACGTAAACACGGTTTCGCATCGACTTCCAATTTGTCTATTCGACTTCATGGGCATTTAGGCTCGACTGGAACTATTGTGCTCCCTCGTGGTGAGGCCACAGCTGAATTTCGAGTAAGTTGTGCCATTGACTTATGTATTGTGTGCTACAGATTTTATGTCAACTTTTGATATCTGAACATAAGCGCAGTGTTTTTGATTGTCTTCACATACACGCCACAGTGATGATAGTAGTAATAGTCCTATATCCTCAGGTGAACAGCTGATGGAAAAATGCAAGGACCCTATCTTTGACTCCGCGTAGTGACAGTCCGACTTGTTTATGTTGTAGAAACACACCAGGGCCTTTTGTTCAGTTTACATTCATGACCAATCATGAATTTCATGCGGTCGATAATTTGCTAAGTGAACTCTCAGTCACGTGCCTAACTTGATGTCATATGCGTCCCGGGCGAACTTATTTTCACAGTTCTACATTTGTTCTCAGTACCCGGCACACCCACCATCACCACCACCACCACCATCATCATCATCATCATCAATCATCATCGTCATCATAGGTTTGTCAAGGTCGATCCGTGTCCCGAAGTGCAGTGGACCTAGTTACATCAACTCATGCGCCACACTAGTACTGCTACTGGCAAACTTCCATCGCAATGATGCTGCACGTTGCCGTGGTGCGATGGTTTGTGTATCTCAGTGATCAGTTGAGCTATACTGGGTGGTGCTTTTCACCTTCAGAGCCACTCATACCAGATTGGTCAAGGGTTAGAGGCCAGACAAACTCAGCCGCCTGGTCCTCCAGGTTGGGGGTTAGAATGAGGGTGGCTCCTTATTCCTTAAAACGGACTCCTTGTAGCCCAACGCCAAACCCGCTGCCTTGCGGTCAGGTTTTTGAACCAAAGGCTTTGGTTGAGAACCCTAATCGTTCTCCTGTCTAGGATTGAAAACCTGACAGTATCCTACCCACGCAATACAATGAATCTCTCTTCAAACAAATTTCTGATGCTCTGGCCACCGCAGAGGATAATCAACGGTGCCCTATGTGCTGCATCGAGCAGGGTGGATAGGGGTTTGGATGCTACTGCTCAAGCCTTCCCATCTTCTTATTCCCCTTCTTGCGCTTTTTCACCCTTATCGTCCCGTTCCAGCTTCACTTTTATCCACCCCAATTCTCGGCCATCCCCCACCTTGCTTCAATGTTAGCTTGTCTTTTAGTTTCAACTCACATGTGGACGCGGAGCGTCATTCCTATTTTGTAAACAGGCCCATGTCCAAGCAAGCGGCCAAGCCGAGCTCATCGGCTTCTATTTGGAGCCCTGGATCCTCCTTCAGATTGACATGCCTTAATGTTCGCACATTGCTTCAGATCGGTCAACAGGCAGCACTTGCCCGTACATCAGAGGCCCTCTCGATCGATATCTGCTTGCTTATCGGAAATCCGCCTGCAAGAATCGAGCTCTGTGCTCACTCTGTGATTTCCTTCAGGTGACAGTAGTAGCACTTTCTCATTGCGGCTATCCGGTGACGATGCAGTTTCGAGCACTGGCCAAGCCGGTGTTGGTATTGCCCTGAGTCCCCGGGTTGAAGCTACTCTGATTGCTTGGATTCCAATCAGTAGCCGGATGTGTGCGGTCCGATTGGCTGGCTCGTTCAAAGCTTTGAAGTCGCGCGGGACCAATAGGTGTCTATTCGTTATCGCTGCCTATGCACCGACAAGCTCTAGCGATGATCGGTAAAAGACGACTTCTGTCGTCAACTGAACGAGCTCCTTAGGCACAGACGAAGCTCGGACACGATAGTGCTGGCTGGGAATCTGAACGCTCAAGTTGGAAAATTATCCACTGATGAACTGCATCTGGGCGGCCAACATGGTGTAGGCTCCCGTACTGATAACGGTGAGCGGTTACTTCATTTGTATGAGGATTCTCGCTTATTTCTTGCGACCACTAATTTCCGACACAGCACCCGCCGGAGGGTGACTTGGCGCCCACCAGCCTTGGACGCAGATCGATCACATTGCGATAAGTTACCGATAGAGAGGCTGCATCCAGAACTGTCGCTCGATTTGGAGCACATGTGTAGACACCGATCATGCACTTGTATGTGCTGACCTGCGGATGCGCTTTGGCGGACGCCCACGACGACGTTGTGAGCGCATTGACATCAGCCAACTGGCGAAGCCAGATGTTCTGTATATCTATCAAAGTACGCTGTCATGCGAGTTGGATAAACGGTCACTGGATGCTACTCGCAGGCATATTCCGGCCGGAAGCGAGCACAAAGAAACTCGCAAAGAGCTCCGGACAAATCTCCGTGCTAGCCTGAAGAGAGACCGCGAATCTTGGTGGTCTCATCGTGCTTCAGCGATGGAAATGGTCGCTGCGCTTGGTAACTATCTTAAGCTATTCCGGCTGATATGGGAATCGGGTAGCAGGAGACCTGGTGTTTGTGAAACTATGCGTGACGAGAGTGAACAGCCTATCCACAACTTGTCAAAACGCTTGGAGCGTTGGGCTGAGCACTTTGAAAGGCAATTTAATTGACCGGAATTGTTAGATTTCTCGCCGACCAGTGGTCGCCCCGCTCCGTGGGCTGTCCCTTTATATCCACCCTCGTTCAGAAGTCGAACGTGGGATGGAACTTTTGAAGCCGCGGGACGAGATGATCTTCCTTCAGCCCTCTTCAAAATCGGGGGACCTCCTCTTGTGGATGATTTGCACGAGTTACTGGTGAAACTGTGGGAGCAGGAAACTGTCCCAACCGACTGGAGCCGCTGCGTGATAGTCCCAATTTTCAAGGGATGCTCGCGATCGGAATGCGGCAGCTATAGAGGAATCAGTCTGATCTCCATCGCCTCCAAATTGCTTGCCTCTGTAATTCTTCACAAACTTACTGGCATTCATGAAAGCGATTCGTGAGGAGCAAGCAGGGTTTCGTCAGGGTCATGGCTGCATTGACCACATTTTCACCTTGCGTCAGTTGTTGGAGCACCGTCACACATATTGGCGGCCCACCGTATTCGTGTTCCTTTACATCAAAGGTGCCTTCGATTCGGTTGATCGATGTGCCCTTTGGAATTGTCTATTCAGGAAAGGTGTACCTGAGAAATATGTGAATATTACCCGAGCATTGTATGCGCGTAGCTCAGGCAGAGTGAGGGCTTACGGCAAGCTGTCGTTGCCCTTTAATATCTCCAGCGTTGTGAGACAGGTATGCGCGCTGTCACCTTTCCTCTTCAACTTCGCTATTGACGAAGTCATGGAAATCGCGTTTACAGGACACGACTTAAAAGGTGTGGATCTGCTCCCAGGCGAACGACTTCTTGACTTGGAGTGTGCTGACGATATTACCCTACTCTGTGACAGCTCACAAACGTGCCAAGCGGCACTGGACAGATTAGCGCTAGCTGTCCGTCACTTCGGGCTTTGCTTCGCACCCTCGCAGTGCAAAGTGTTCCTCCAAGATTGGTCTGGACCGACTCCTGCGCCGACCCTTGGTGGGGATCAGCTAGAAGTCGTTCAAAAATTCAACTACCTGGGATGTTGTATCAGCGCCTTTGGGATTGGAGATGAGATCAGGAACCGTGTAGCGAGATCTCGAAGCGCTTTTGCTAACCTTCGCCACTTATGGCGATGGCGCGACACCACTCTTGCCCTGAAGGGAAGAGTGTACAATGCAGCGGTACTTTCGACCCTACCGTACGGTTGTGAAACTTGGCCCCTTAAAACAGCGGACCTGAAGAGGCTAGTTACGTTCGATTACCGGTGCCTTCGCAATTTAGCTCACATCTGGTGGGAACACCGCGTGAGCAACGAGCGTGTTCGACGCCTTGTTTATGGCACAGGAAAAGCAAATGAACCGCTCAGCACCGTTATTTCACGTACCAGGCTCCGATGGCTGGGCCATGCCAGCCCACCGACTCCCGCGACGTGCGTTGTTTGCTCGCTGTGGGTGTGGATAGAAGAAGAGGAGAGGGGGCCAAGCGATGACTTGGTCAAGAGGAATGAAGGCCCACACTTCTGAGCTTACCTCGGTTGGAGCGTCTCGGCTCCCTGGTTGCGGTCTAAAAGACGATGAACACGTTTGGCTAGATACAGTTGCTGATATGGCTAGGAGCCGACCTCAGTGGCGTTCGTGCTGTGAGTTTCTTTGTCCCACCCCTTCCCTCTTGGCCTTCCCCTTCAACCACGATCTCACCATTTAGCCTTATGTAATTTTGTATAGTAATTATTTGATGCACAGTAGCCGCAAGTAGCTTATCGGAACGATGCCCATCCGTTACCGGTAGCTCAGCCAGCTTGCACCAGTTGCATTTTTTCTTTTTTTCTTCTATGTATATCGGCACAGTAGCTGAGGTGTTTCCCACCTCTAGCTAACGTGTGTAATGATGAATGATGATGACTGGCGCACTTGCGGTACGCGGACTAAATTGTGCTTATTGAGTCGGAATTAGCTGGTACGTCCAATAGACTTTCGCTTATAAAGTACTTTGACTTGTGCTCACTGCCACGTAACTGGATCGATGCACACAACCATTTAACAGTTACACTGAACACCTGTTGGAAATGGCGAATCAGTTCGTTTACCTAGTTAACTGTCTCACCTTCTGGTAGTGCTACTTGGCTTTCTTAACCGCAATCACTTGTGGATGCGGTGATGCACAAGGCGATCGTTGATTCCTTACGAATCATCTACCTGGCAGCTATGTGATGATGTGACACATGAGGAGACTACCAGTATTCCAGCTCTGATGCTGCTTAACCATTTTCCATGTCTAACGGCCGCATCGACATTCGTCCCTTGGATGTTCGTTTACACAAACCTTCGGGCCTTCCATTAGTGTCTGTTCGACTCGAAACGTCTACAAACACATTGGCTGGGTCATTTCACTTGCATGTCACTTTGTCTATCCGCTTCGACGTGTATCGTTTTTATACTATTGCACCTAGCTGTGAGAAATCTTCAGGTTGCTGTTCAGCAGTGTGATTTAACTGCGCGCAACAATTGGAGTTTTCTTCACTTTTCTATGTCCATCCCTCGTTAGGTATTGCTGAGCGACAAAAAATTTAAAGCATGGTTATCGCTGCTGTTGTTGCTGGCGCTGGTTGTGC